TTGTCTGACGTGTGCTGAATTCCCACAGCCCTGTGGTGGGCACAGTGGGCTAAGTGGTCTCTGTCCCAGTGTCTGAAGTGGCTGTGGGACCCACTGGGCAGTGCAGATTGAAGACAACTGCTGGCCATGGGTGTCTGTGGGAGTGTCTGGCTAGCGGGACCGTGGACTCCAGGGTTTGTGACTTCAGTACTGTCTGCAGTCATCCAGCAAGGAAGTGTGGGGATGTGGCTTGCACAGCCCCAGAACAGCTTGGCACTGCAGACCTTGGGTGATACAGATCTACCATGTCAGATGCCCCATGACCACCAGAAAGCTCCAGATGGTCCTCAGTACCATCACGACAACCAAGTTGTCTCTGTGGAGCCGGGAGACAGCCCATGGGAGGCCAAATCTTGAGCACTGGTGTGGACTCATCGCCTTTGACAGGACAGGCCAGAAACAAGCTCAGATGTCATGGGAAACCCTCGGCCACACTTCAGTACAGATGGCCCCATCACACAATCAAACCCCAGGTGACGTGTCGGCTCTGAACTGCCTTCTGAGATCTGTGTTTTCTGCAAAGGCAGGCTGCGGCCACCCTTTGGTACTGAAGCAGCAAAGTCTTCTGCTTGTCACCTCGCTTCCTTAGACCACGCACAAAGGGGCCGACGCATGGGTGGCCAGGGCCCTGTGGTTCATCCATACACTTCTTCCATGCATGCATCTTACCCACTACCCCTGGATTTGGACATCAGGGCTGGCCCTGACCACCCCTCACTCATTGAGAGCAGCCTTAGACAAGTATCTGAATAAACATGCCCACACTACAGACGGAAAGATCTAGGTATCTGTCACTGCTTAAAACCAGGCAAATTCTGCCGATTACTTACTCAACCTTTCTGTATTTATGGCTCCTGGGGTCTTGCTTTTGGGGGGTTAAATTGGCAGATGTGTATTAGCGCTCTCATCTTATGGGACACACTTTTGTTGGGGCATCGGTATGTCATAACCAGGATTGTAAATCTGAAGCGGTAATTGTCGGAGAAATGATTTAATGCTCCACAAGGCTTTCTACTCCTATCTCTTCCAATGGGATGTCAGAGCGATTACAAGCAAATTCACTTTATAAAATTGCTGTAATCACTCTTTGAGGGATTAACCAGGGATTAGGGGCCTTTGCTTGGGCCTGGCCAGAATTCTCTCAGATGGTTGGTCAGAACAGTGGGTGGTGGGTGTCTCTGCCCCCTGCTTAAGAAGCAGACCTGATCATTGGCGCCGAGAGCTTCCTGCTGGTCAGTTCTGGCACAATCAGAGGGTGAAACAAAGTACCACAGTGATTCTAGTCACATACACACAAGTGTCTTTGGAATGACGTTAACAGAATGAGGTAGGACCAATGTACCTGGTGAATCAAGCTTGTTGGTCCACATGTGTGGGCTGAATCCCGGCCATCTTGACAGGCCCCTAAAGGTGCCTGGGGAGTGTCCTGCCCTCAGGGTTCCATGCTTGTCCTCTGTCATAGGTGGGGAGTGAATTTCTGAATGGAAGAATTTAGGATGTAAAGTGTCTTGGGCACTATGGACATGAAAGAACAGGGGTCACGGTGACCACCAAGTGGCAGGTAAACTGACAGCCAAGGCCATGCTGGCTCATTGGGAGGAAGCCACAGGCCGTCACAGCACTCTGCCCACTGAGAAATGGATGCCACCTGCTGTTTAGGAAAAAGGACCAGAGGGAGAATGTGTTTCCAGGGGTCATTGAACCTGATCATCGGCTGTTCTGCCCGAGCAAGATGAGGTTTTCTGCTCCCGCAAAGATTTACAGCCATAGAAACCCCCGGACACTGATTCAACAAGGATATTTAACAACAAAAACAAGTCTTCTGTAGCCCCAACGTGAGGCCTGCTGGTATAGGGGATGGGGAAGGGGCTGTCACAGGGCAGAAGGCTGCAGGGCACATAGATGCTGATTGTCAGTGAAACAAAGCAAGTACAGGACCCCAACAGAGAAACCTGTCCCAGGACTCCAGGGAGGGACCCCTCCCCAGTAACAGGAATAGAGACATCCTGATCTGGCCAATGTCCTTGTGGAGGATAAAGAGAGGCCATGGCTTCAAGCTGGGGGTGGGCGAGGGTCAGTCACTTTACATGTATTCACCTTGTAACCTGCCACATCGCAGCAGCAGCTCCCAGGCCTGGGGGCAGGGAGAGGCTAGCCCATGGGTGCTGGATGGACACCTAGGTGGGCATGTGGCCACCACCCTCTCTTGGTAGCAATTGGACAGCCTGCCTGGCCCCAGCTGGCCCTCTGTAGAGACGTCAATAGTCAAGGGCTGAAAGCATAACAAAGCTGAACACTGGTTGGCTGTCCAGCTAGAGACTACTTCCAGTCAGTGGACAAAGAAAGGACTCTCGGAATGATTTACATCTTCACAGTCGGGAGTTAGTAGCTGGTAGCCAACTGCAGGTCACACAGGGACATGAGACAGGCTGTGAGTGCCAGAGACCCTCTACCCTCTGGCTTTGAAGACCAAGTATGGTGGAGGAAAAACATGAAACATCTCGTGAATAATTTTTATCTATCAATTGCATGTTGACAAGATCATGCTAGGGATACAATGGCAAAAAGTAGACATCACCTGCTTCTGTTCGCTCCCTGTGAGGCTGCTGGGATCTTATATGCTGCAGAAGTGGTTCATGGAGTGTTTGCAGTGGGCAGTGCTGGCTTAAAGAGGTGGCAGGGAGGCCTTCATCTCAGATGTACTGCCTCCAATGTCTCCCCACTCTTCTTTATACGCTTGGAGGGTCAGCCCTTTTTTTTTTTTACCAGGTAGCTTCTTCCAGTGTGGAGTTGGGTTCCTCTTGCCAATCTGTTTACAGAGACAGGACTGCTTTGTCAGTGGCAACTGCTGAGGAATCCGCCTCAATTCACCCTGTAAACACCGTGTTTCCGCTCAAACCCTGGGTGAAACACACCACGTTTTGAAAAGCCTTGGAGAAATAGCTTTACAGTTTTTAAAAACAGTGTTTCACTTCAGTTTAATTTCTATTTAATCCAAGTTATTGAAAGGATTTCTGATTAATGAAGTGATTCTTTTTTAAAAGTTGGTTTCCACCCAAGATGGCAGGAGGGGCGGGGGAGGTAGAGAGAGAGTTTTCCTTCCTCTTTTCTTGTTTTTTTTCCAATATTTTTGATGAATGGTTCTCCAGAAGAGGCTCTTTAAGTTCTGATTTAGACAAGTGGCCCAAGTTGGTGCAAGGATCTGAAAATGGAAATCATGGGTTCAGGGTTGAGAGAATGCAATTTAATTTTATAGTAAATCGGATCATGTTGTTGTTATGTGCCGTGGAGTCGGCTCTGACTCATAGCAACCCTACACAGGGTTTCCGAGACTGTTAATCTACACGGGAGCAGAACGCTTCATTTTTCTCCCGCGGAGCAGCTGGTAGTTTCGAACTGCTGACCTTGTGGTTCGCAGCCCGATTCTTAACCACTACGCTACCAGAGCTCCTTAAAAATCGGATCATAGTGTTTTAAAACTAAACTGAAATGAGATACTTTATCCCGAATGTAAATGAGGTATCACACATGTCTGGCTTTAGCCAGAATCAGCCATTCTGTTTAGAATGATAATCGCTAAGTAAGGAACTCCTGAAGGGAAATTTGGGTTTCCAGATTTGGAAAATTGTTTCAGGCTCTCAGCTTTTTGAAAGTGCAAAACTGATAAACTGGTCTGTTGAGGGGTGTGGGGGGGGGAAGACAATAAAGAAATAAAAATGGAAATGAGCAGACACCAGTAGTAAGCATGTCTTTATAAATAACGCTTAATCACACACTTCATTTTGCAAATACAAAAGGGCCTTTTGAAATGTATTAATTAAAGTGAAACGCTATAGACAGGCCGCCTGGTGGGGCCCCATCATCTCCCCATTAGCATCACATTAACAACAGTCCAGGATACAGGGTTGATAGAGCCGGATACGGTAACGGGGTGCCCAGCGTCAACCCCAGCTCAGTCTGCACGCGGGTGGCATGACGGTGCCGGCTCTCGAGGCCCTAGAGGGCGTCACCACCCCACTCTAAAAGCCGCAGACTCGCCACCGTCTCATCAGCCCCGGCGTGCAGCCCCCAACGACGTACTCACCTCAGAAACTTCCAGGCGATGAGCGGAGTTTCTTCCCCAGACCCATTCTCCACGCAACCCCTTTAGGCGGAGGACATTGATAGTCTCTATCCAGCGGGCCGCGCTATTCTATCCCGTGTAGGGGGCGAGTCCAGGGGCCTTACGGGGCAATGCCCTCAGGTTTCTGGAGGCTTCCAGTTTCAGTGCCTCAAGGCAGACAAGAAAAGAACCAAGACCCGCTGACACGACATAGCTCGGACTTTTGAAAGACCTAAACGCTCCCGCCCCACATCTTCCTCCGGCCGCAGTCCAGTTCCTTTTGCAAATGACATTGGTGGGTTGGTCCGGCTCCTGTGGGGGCTGGGCTCATGGACATGGGCCCGGAGACAGACCGAGCAGTCGGGGTGCACGGCAGTTTGGCAAGAGGGGACGAACAGGAACCCGAACACGCGCTGAAGGCCGGGGCTGCTGCCGGCTGAGTCCAACAGTGCCCTGTCTGAGCCCCTCGTACCCGCGCTGGAGACGCGCAGAGTCACCAGTCCTCGGCCGGGCTAGTCCACCGGCTTCTTTGATGGTGTGACTAGCGGCACCAGACGGAGCAGGATTGGACATTCTCCGCCTCAGGCTAGAATGACTCTTGGCACCTCCAGGGACACGGGGAGGGTGTCCAGCGGGAACTGAGTGACCTGGCGCCGATTCCATCGTCCCCACTCTCTCTCCAGCTCAATCCCACTTCGGAACCAGGCCTGTGCTTCCTGCTGGAAGCGAGGTCAGACCGCTCCTCCTCGTCGGCGGGGGTCTGTGTGAGCATCTCCGGTCAGGGTCAGGGCAGGGTGACAGTCATCAAGGGCAAAGTGAAGAGGAGGGTGGGTGCCGAGCGGAGGGGCTGGCCCGGTCGTCACGGTTTTTCGTTACAGTGTTTGCAAAGCGCCGAGGGCGTCTCGGAGAAGGCGGCGCATTTGTCAGAGCAGGGCCCCAGCGCGGCACCTGCGGAGAAGGGGTACACAGCCGCCTGGCCGAAAGGCGTCAAGGGCGCGGCGGTCAGTGGCGCGGCCAGGCCCTGGCCCTGGTTGAGGTAGGCCACCAGGCGCCGCATCTCGTCCAGGGCTTGCGCTTGCATGAGGATGTAATTTTTGGCCAGCAGCAGCGTGGCGATCTTGGAGAGCTTGCGCACCGACGGGCTGTGAGCATACGGAATGACGGCCCGCAGCCCGTCCAGCGCGTCGTTGAGGTCGTGCATGCGCCGCCGCTCGCGGGCGTTGATGCTTAGCCGGAGCGAGCGCTGTTCGCCGGGCCGCCGCCGCCCATCCGCCGTCCCCGACCCGCGCCGCCGCTGTCGTTGCTCGAACGTGTCATCCTCGTCGCCACTCTGCTCGCCGCTGCTCTCCGGCGCCGTAATCGGGGCGCAAGGTTCGGGCGCAGACGGGGTGTCGCCGCCCGGTTCCGGTACGCCGTATCCGTGGACTGCCTCGGGCACCCGCGCCACCCCGAAGGTGAGACCCGCCGCCGTCGCGGCGTAGCTATGGCTCAGCGCCAGGTACGCGTCCTCCGACAGCGACTTGAGCTCGGTCATGGACTCGCCGCCTGGGCGCTAGGGCGCGCCGGGAGAGCGAGTGCTCTTGCAGCCGGGCTGGGGCGAGGAACGCCGGTAGCCCGCGCTGTCGTGTGCTGTGGGTCGGTCGGTCCCCGAGTCTTGGCCCGCCGGCCCGGTTCCCCGCCCAGTCCCGCCCAGCCCCGCCTCCTAGCCGCCGCGAGCAGATCGCGGTAGGGGACGGACTCGAGCTCTGGCTCGCCCTCGCTTCGGTTTTAAACCGCGGAGGCGCCCGCTGGGACTTCGCGGTTGTCCAATCAGAGGGGACCTGGTGGCCGTCTCTGCCTGCTGCCCCGCTCCCCCGGCGACACAGATCGACGGCACTGGGGTGGAAACTGCCAGGATGGCCGAAGCCGGAGGACTGGACAGAGGCGCGGTGGGACCCCGGCCCCGGGGGTCGTGGGTGCTCAGCCCCAAGGGAACGCCGTCGCGGAGTCACAGAGCCTCGCGTTCCCGCGTCTGGCATGCCCCAGGCGCTGAGTGGTGGGCAGGCGGCCAGGCTGGGCTGGATACTTGCATTTGGGAATGTCTAGATCTTGCAGCCCCGCCCCACACCGTGTCCTAGAACAGCTACGTCCCGAGTTCGTTTCCACAGTCCCCACAGTCGGGGGTTTGTCCTCAGAGACAGGACCAAAGCCAAAACCGTAATCTATTGTCGTCAGGAAGGGGACTTCTTTCAGTTCTTGGTCTGGTGAGTTCTCCGAGTGGAGGTGGGGACGTGGTGCTGTCGTCCTCAACAGAGGGAGGACGAGCCGTGAGACATTGGAGAGGTGTCGGACCTGAGCTGCTCCACCCTCTAGGGAAACAGGGGTGGAGCCCAGCAGGGTGTGGACCAGAGGGGTGGTCTCCACGGTAGTCTACAAGGGTGGAACCTTCCCCAGGGCCAGGAGCTGACTTCCGCCCCTGCCCCTGGGCTGAGAAGGCAGGTGGGTACAGCTTGGCACAGGATAAGGATGTCGGTATGAAGCCCTTTCTGAGATGTGATCCTAGACCCTTCTTGGGTGCTGACTAGCACAGGAAGGGTGTGGGGAAGTCTGGGAAATCCTGGGTGGATAGGAAGGTCAAGGTCTAAATGCCGTGTGGGTTTCACTTGCGGACTAGTCAGCAGAGTGACAGGAGCCGAGCAGTGGTCATCATGGACCCCTATGGTCAGGCACTCGGGATCCTTCACCCCCTTAGTGGCCCCGCCTGGGATGGTGGCCATCCAGAGTACTGATGGAGCCCCACCACCCAGGATGACCTTATGCTCCAAGGTAGAAGGACAGGTTGAGGACTGAGCCATTTGGGTGGGGTGGGGTTGTTGTTAAGTACCATGGAGTCGGTTCTGACTCATAATAACCCTGTAGGTGGTTGTTAAGTACCACGGAGTCGGTTCTGACTCATAGTGACCCTGTACAGGGTTTCCGAGGATGTAAATCTTTACTGGAGCAGAATGCTTCATTTTTCTCCCTCAGAACTGCTGGTAGTTTCGAACAGCTGACTTTGAGGTTGGCAGCCCCTGACTCGTAACCACTACGCTACCAGAGCTCCTTAATAAAGCTGTATAGGACTTGTGAATTTCTGCAGCCACTGGTGAGCTTAAATTGCCTACCTCGTGGTTCAAACCTATTTTGCAATCCAGTGCATTAACGGGCAGCGCTACACCAGGACTCCCAGGTGGGGTTAGTGGAATATAACGGAATTGAAGTGCGCGGGTGAGTGAGACCTGCTTCAGAAAGTGAAACCAGGTTCTTAGCATAGTTCAACTGATTCAAGCTAGGTCTTGGTTTGTGCCCAGGGCCTCTGCTGTGGGAGTCTGGACCTGGCTGGGAGAGGCTCAGTATCTGCCGGCTGGAGAAGTCTGGGGCACAGGCTGGGGATGAGCAGATATTTGCGGCCCGAACCATTAAGTACTCAGTGGGAAGTCCACCTGCTGGCAGCGCCAGGTGTGGGTGTGAGAGGCCAGCAGCAAACCTGCTGTGAATTAAAGCAGGGGAGAGAAACTTCTGGAAGTGTCGTGATTCTTGGCTACATGCTGCCACCTCATGGACTGTTAGGAGATTGCACCCAGCTCTGGGTTTCCAGGAGACCTGTTTTGTCCCAAGATTGTTCTTGTTAAGTGCCATCGAGTCGCTTCCGACTCACAGTGACCCCTGTATAAGGTTTACAAGGAGTGATTGATGAGTTTGAACCACAGACCTTATAGTTCAAACCGACCTTGCAGCCCACATCACCCATCCGTTGGTCCCTCTTGGGGAACTCAACTTGGGCAGGGGGGCTACTTCACAGGAGCCAGGGGTCCGTGTAGTGGAGGACCATCTTACTCTCACCTGCCCTTGGACCCGAGCTCCCAGGGAGAAGCAGAACCCCTCAGCCAAGCCCTGCACTTCCCCTGGCAAAGGTGATGGAGGACTACCATTCCAACTCCTCCTCCACCAAGGTGCAGACAGAGCAGCTGTCTTGGCCTCATTCCTGCATGTGATCTTCAGATAGCTCTGCGTGGGGACCGGCTTTAGGGACTGCCCCACACTGCCACAGGGTCTGGTGCTTGTGCTGCTGTGTTCTCATTTTGTTTGTTTAATAACAGACTTTGTTCTTCAGAGCAGTTTTAGGTTTACAGAAAAGCTATGCAGAACAATGTCCCCTTATGCCCTTCCCTCCCCACCTCAATGTCCCTGCTGTGCATTTGATACAAACTGTGAAATGATACTCAGACTGGTTTTTAAGGAAAACGCAAAATGGGCAGGGTGCAGAATTCTTGTCATTCTGATTCAACAACTATGGGATAGTGGGTAGTCATATTTTGCTTTATGTTTTTACTTTTTTTTTTTTTAAACAACTTTATTATGCAAGGCAGTCTTCAAAAAATTTCTGAATGTCATAGGTCACCACTGTAGAGGCCATGTTGTTAGAGAAAACAAAGTTATTAAGCTATTATCACTGTCCTGTATTAAACATGTCATAACAACACTGAAGTCCTGATCTTCATGTTTCAGACAACAATAATGTATGTATAAGCTCTTTTTTTTAATGAGAAAATAAATATACATGATTTCCTTTTCAGTACATGAAAAGAAGAAGAAGAATGCAATTTCTTTTTTTCCTTCTTCCTTCTTCTCTTTTCCTTCCTTTTCTTCCTAACTGCCTTCCCTGTCACCCAAGTTAGTGTTACCAGGGGGGCTACAAAAGACTAGAGAGGCATAAAGTGAACTGGCAAGGGGACATCTAAGAAGGAAACCAGCACGGAGGACAAGCCACAGATATCTCTGAGCTCACAGGCTTTGGGGCGTTTATAGGGTTACAGACAGGGAACAGGCAAGGGTGGTCTTAGGTGGTTCCTGGAATTGTTGATGGCATCTTGAGGTTTCAGATGATATTTCCTGATTGGGTGTTCATTCCTTATACAAGTGTACCAGGTCCAAGACCCTATTTCGAGACCCAGGTCTGGCTCTGGCTCTGACCCTTCATAGTGACATTAACAGACTGACCAAAGAGACTGTCACCGTGCCTGCCCCGTGCTCTCGGGCAGGGCTGCTGGGCGGTGGGCTTCTGCATCTGCCAGATTCTGAGAGCTCCAAGGAGCATCTTAATTCCTGTTATTCACTAAAAAGTAAGTGGTTTGTTAAGTTTCATTTACTGCCCTACCCGTGCTTTGTAAAAGTGTGCTTCTGCAAGAGAATTGTCATGTCTTTAGTCTTCCTCCGTGTCTTTAGCCTTCCTCCCTTCTGGCTGTCTGTCTCTAACAGTAACATGTAACCCACCCCCTCCACACACAGAGTAGACAGGGACAGGCAACTTGGACATTGGCTGCCCAAAATGGGGGGTGGGGGGCTACAAAGGCAAGAAGTGACTGGCTTACAAGCTTTCAAGAGGGAACCTAGATCCAGAGGGTACAGAGGAAGGTAGAATCTCCAGTGAGTAGTATCCAATCTGTCTAGGTGGAGCTGATGAAAGGAGATGGGGCTAGGTGACTAATGCTCCCTTCCCTCCCACCCCTGGTAACCACCATAAAAAGTTTATTATAGAATGAAAACCTTTCCATGACTTCTTTGCAGTGTGGCCTCATACAATGTCTGTCCCTTTGAGCTAGAGTAATTTCACTCAGCATAACGTCCTCCATGAAAAAATCATTATTCTTCATTGTTGTAGAACCGTCCGTTGTGTGTTTGTACCAAAGTTTGGTCAATCTTTCCTCTGCTGTGCTGCAGGGAACTTGTTGTTAAGTGCTGTCGAGTCGGTTTTAACTCATAGTGACCCTGTATAGGGTTTCCGAGGAATAGCTGATGGGTTTGAACTGCCGATCTTGTGGTTCACAGCCCCGCCTGATCCTACAGCGCCATACCAGGAGTCTACAATGAACATATTGTTGTTGTTAAGTGCCGTTTATGGGTTTATGCTGTTTATGGATTCTGACCCATAGTTACCCTGTATAGAGTTTCCGAGGAGTGGTTGGTGAGCTTGAACTTCCAACCTTGTGGTTCAAACCAACTTTGCAGTCCAGCGCATTAACCCACAGCACCACACCAGGAGTCCACAATGAACACAGGTGTGCGAATATCTAGTCACGTCACGGCTCTTATTTCTTGAGGATTTATACCAAGTAGAAAGATTGTGGAATCATCTCTATTTCTCACCTTCTGAAAAGATGCCGTGGCTTTCCCATCCCACCAGTAGTGTAGAGAGTGTCACACCCTCCACACTCCTACAGCATTTGTAGGTTTCTGTTTTCGTTTTTGAACTTTGCTGTTAATGCTGAGTTAAGAGGGTATCTCCTTATCGTTTGATTTGCATCTTTCCCGTGGCTGGAGATCGGGAGCATTTCTTCCTATGTTTATTGGCCTCCTGAATGTCTTCATTGGTGAAGCATCTTTCATGTCCTCTGCCCATTTTTAAATGGGATGATTTGTCTTCTTATTGAGGTGTTGAAGTGTTCTATAAATTTTAGACGGTAGTTCTTTGTCTGACATGTCATGATCAAATCCCTCCACCCCCATTTTGTATGCTCTATTTTT